AACTAATCTTAAAAGCTATAAAAGGTCAGTAGGATCGAGTTTTAAGTCATTTTCATTGTACGAATGGAAGTACTCAGAATAAACTTTTTCAGGAAATCTGGTGACATCACATATTCCTAAAACTAAAGTTGTTGGCCATACAGGGGATCACGAGGTGCCTGAACACTCACTTTCCCAGACATGGACCGCCGCCCTGATCAGAAGTTCGGCAGGCTTTTTCACAAACTAAACCCACAGATTGTTTGCAATTTAACAAAAATCAAATCATTATTATTTTTAATTAAAATGAACAGAAATTGCCATTACATGTTAATTGCACTTTTGAAGGCAAAACCTGTATTGGCTGGGGCTTGTCAATGATCTGGTTTCTGTCATTTAAATAAAGAAATTAAAAAAAATTTTTTAATAGCCAGTCCCAATCTGTTCCTATTCCAAAAGAACAGTACAGTTTAGAAGGCCTAATGTGAGCAAAATTCAGCCTTGGAAGTATGAGGTCTGCTTGGAGCCCAGGCTGAGCTGGTTGAAATGGGTGGGAAAGCTGGAAAGCAGCCTTGGTCCCCACGTCCAGCTAATAACTTCTGACCGCGAGGAGCAGCAGAGTGGGGAAAATGCCACATGACTAGACTAGCACAAAATTATGGAAAACCTTAAAGCTGCCCAGAGCCCAGATCCGATGGGATGAGAAAAGGTAAAAAATCCTTCCCTGTTTTTAATTAAGTCTCTGACTTGAAGCCTATTTTGCCAAGGCAGAGGTAAAAATAACGTTTTCCTGAGTATTGACTTAAGGATATCTAAAAATCAGTAGATTCAGCTTTCGTATCAGAGCACGCTCTAGCCCCAGTCCAGGCTCTCTTCTGGAGCCAGAGACTGGGCAGGGTGCTCACAGGCCCGTCTCCCGCACTAAGCTCCAGCACCTGCAGCCAGCTCTGCTTGTGTGGAGCCGGAGGGTACCTTCGAGAAAACAGCACCCCGCACCAATCTTGGCTGTCCTCACATCTTCCCGCTGGTCCTCACCTCACCTCAGCCTCCCCCTTGCAGGAGCACTCAGAGCATACTCTGCAAAGAGGACTGAAATGCCAGGAACGCAGGCTTTCGTTAGGGACACCTGTCTTCAAGCATTCACCAAAGCTGAAACACTCACATTCAGTTCTTCTACAAAGGTGAGCGTTTTGCTTAGAATAAAGCATTACTTACTGAGTTAAACAAGTGGGAAATAACAATGCAAAGCAATTCAAGTTGAAATTTTCCACATACTTAGTTTTTCCTAAGAAAAGCTCTCCTACAGAACTTTGTAAAAACTGAAAAGAAGAAAGTTTTTAAAAATACAAGTTTTATTTTTAGCCTACACACCTAAAAACTTTCACTACAACGAGCAGTATATGTCCATGATTATTGGAGTTTTGTAATGTGTTGGCAAAGCTGCAGTAATTATGGAAATAATTACTGGCAGTATTAAACTAAGTTGACCATTTGAATGCTACGAATTCAGGCAGCTGAATTATGAAGAAAGGATAGTGCTGTTGTTTTTTTCCTTTGAAGAAAAAAAGAGAAACCAATTCTAAGTGTGAGCCCTACAGTCACCATTTACACAAGGCAGGCACACATCAATGTCAACTTCATTCCTTACCTCCTACTGTTGTTTTTAAAATGACTAAACAATTAACAACTAGCAAAAAGACCCTAATGAAAGCTGAAATTAGGTCTGAAAAAATATAACCTTTGTAAGTGATTTTAACTAATTTAAATAAAGTCCCAACAATAGTAGCTTTTAATTAAAACAATTTTGTAAATCATCTACTGGGTTCAAAGCTTAGATTAACTCAAAAACTTTAAATCTCTAATAGGCAAGCTAAGAAACTTACATTTAACCAAAAATTAGTAATAGTTGCAATTATAAGTGGTACATTGAAATATTAACATATTTTAAATTTTTATTAACAGGGGAAACAAACACCAAAGCAAGCTATTTTCACGACCATTTACTTGGGGTACAATCCAGGTGCATCTGTTTTAGTCAAGTCTCTGCAGATTCACTATCAGATCTATCCTGAATAAATTCCAGTTACTACATTCCAAAGGAAGATTATTTTCTTGGCTTAGCTATTTCGGGTGGAAAAAAGTGTATCTTAAGCAGGTTTCTCTTCCAAAAGGAGAAAAAAATATTTTTTTCTTATAAAGGCAAGCGTTCCAATGAGAAATTCCATGTTCAATAAACTGAATTGCATGGTGTATCAAATATTTTAATTCTAATTCTGAAGTATGTAATATTTAACACTAAAACTTAACTAAATGGCAGACCGCTGAAATGGTGTAGGTCAACTAGGTAGTTATTAGCCACATGAAGCTACTGAAAGGTAAATTTATTAATATTACAACAGATTAAAAATTCAGTTCCTTAGCACAAATGCTCAAAAGCCACACGTGGTCAGTAGCTACTGTCTTCAAGACTCAAATAGGGAGTTTTTTTGTAGCACAAAGTTCTATTGAACAGCCTTGAACTGAATGATCACTTATTTCTTAGACAAGTTTTTGGTTGACCCCCCAAATCACTCTTTCTTTCCTGATTACATGCTTTTCATGTAATAAAGATGAACTGGATTAGTCTCTAATGTACAGGGAGATGGGAATGAATGATTTATGTTAAGTATACCTGTATCATGATACAACCTCAAGTTCCAGCAAGCACGTACTACTTTGTGATGCAAAAATCACAAGTTAACATATCTTGTGTGAGCACTTGCAAGGAATGATCCCAGCTTTAACAAAGCATAAAAAAGCTTTGTGTCTAATGCATATTCCCGCCACAGGGAACTTTGAAAGGAAAAGAAAGGGCAGGAAAACCCATTCCCAGAGTGATCACTCACAAATGCATCAAGTGGCTCTAAGTTTTTAATTCCATTAATATAACAAAGGCACTCAGGCACTTTCGAACTGATTTTAAAACAAAGCAGAAGTCACTGAGTGTTTTGGTCAGTACTCTGACTATAATAACACAAAATATAGTTTGTTATGGTTATTGTATTACTATATTGCCCGGTTTAACTGATTTAGAATATACTTTAGTACATTCATGAAACATAATTTCGAGTGCATAATATGTGTTTGGTCACATATATACTTTATTTATTTATTTATTTATTTTTTGAGTTGGAGTCTCACTCTGTCGCCCAGACTCGAGTGCAGTGGCCACTGCCGGTCACTGCAGCCTCAACCTGCTGGGCTCTGGCGATCCTTCCGCCTCAGCCTTCCAAGTAGCCGGAACTACAGGCACGCACTACCATGCCCGGCTAATTTTTTGATTTATTGTAGAGATGAAGTCTCACCAAGTTGCCCAGGTGGGTCTCAAACCCGCGGGCTCAGGCAATCCACTCACCTCAGCCTCCCAAGGTGCGGGATTACAGGCTGAGCCACCGAGCCCGGTTACATATATACTTTAATAGCACCTTTGGTATTTCTAGTTTTTAAAAAAGGAGTACCACATCCCTCTTGGTCAGGAATATAAATTCATTTATGATGGTTTTTCTATAAGAAAATTAGATATGGCATATTTATAAGACTTGTTATAGGAAGGTAACCTGTCAAAACTTCAAGGACAGCTTAAAAACATTTACTTAGTACATGACTTATTGAAAGTGAACACTTGCAAACTAGATGCAACTTAAGACTATTTACACAAAATGCTACATAGCAAGCATGTTAAAACTACATATAATGTGTAATAGCAAAAAAGTTCTCGTATTAAAAAGTGCTGGTCAGCATTTCAAGTGTGCTAAGTATTTTCACACATTAGCTTGCTTATTCCTTGCAGCAATCCTCTCAAATATACGCTAAATCCCTTTTATAGATAAAGAAACTGAGGCTCAAAATGATAAATAACTTACAGAGATAGGTATTCGAGAGGCCAGATTCCAACCCTCGTTTGGATTTTTCTAAGACTTCATTAAACTGTTAGCGACGACTTCAAAATTAACTTTTAGGGGAAAGAGCTCATCTTTTCACTCTTTCAAAAACACGCACTGAGTAACTATTATGTGCCAAGTCCCATTTACATCTCCTAAGTATTGGGGATGTAAGTGCTGACCCAGATATTTCAAGGCGGCAAGGAGCATTCCAGCAGTAGGGTTGGGAGCATGGCCCAGCAGGCATTCAGGCTTGACTCCCTAGCCCACCACCTAGAATGATGTGATCTTAGGTAGTTTATTTTACTTATCGGTGCTGACATTTTCTCATGACCAAAAAATGGAGACAAAAACTGGACTAACTCAGTGGCCTGCCTGAGGATCAGATAGGTCAATGAATGCAAAACACCCAGTAGATGCTTTATTAGTGCTTGCTATTGTTGTTATTGCTGTGAATGTAGGGAGACAGATAATAAACATGCACATAAATACATGACTTATTCTGGATAGCGATAAATGCTGTAAAGAAGTAAAAAGTGGTTGTTACTTCACACTTTCTAGAGATTCTTTCCTAACTTCACTTAGGAGCTGACAGAGGGATAGTCTATGTCTTCACTAATTCGTTCAACCAACACTTGCTGAGTGCTACTTAATGCTCAGCACTAAACAAGACCAACATGTGTTCCCTTATAAAGTCTAGCAAGGAAACAGGACATTGAGTTAACTCGGAATGAATGCAGTAAGTGAAAAGGAGAGGGTACAGTGAAGGCCCTTGCTGGGAGCCTAGCCAAGTCCGAGGGCTACAGGAAGAACTGCTGAGGAAGCGACATGTATACGCCTTCTCATCTGTGTATCCCAGGCAAAGCCGGAAATGGATGGAGGACAGAACGTTACATCTCAGCAGTGCTATAGCCCTCACGCAAAGGCAACTGCAACAGGAGAGCAACAGGTGTTTTTAGATTGTTTTTCTATTTGGATCAAGACAAGTGAAAGAATTAATGACTTTTCATTAGATGATATTCTTGGCTTATGAAACAACCTGGAAAATGGAGGGTCACTTCATTTTAGGTTGATTTCATTTATTCCAAAGGACGAACCCAAAGAAGGTCATCCAAACACAATACCTGATGGCTATAGGTACCTGTGAACATCTTACCCAGCAGGGCTTGAGGCTTAGAGACCGTGGTTCTGATAGTTATATCTAGAGTTCATTTGTAGGCAGGAGCTGCTGAGAATTTCCAAGGGGTAAGGAAACATCACTCTTCCCACCCTCAGGGATCTCACTGTTTGGCTGAGGAAAGAGAGGATACCCAATGAACTTGAAAAGAAGACAGGAAGGAGAAAACAAACACTTACGGAGACCACACTCTTGGGAAAGCCTCTATTTCTTCTTGTGTGTACTCATCCAGACGTCTAGGTATTTTTCGTGGTTGAGGCAGCTCTTCCACTAAATTCTTAAGAATATCTTCTGAAATAGCCTACACGAAAATAAATTTTAGGCTTAATTTTCTTAAAATACCTTTCTTAGAAAGAAATTACTAATACTAAGTACTAAAAACAAGAATGTATAGAATGAGGAAAACAATATAATATTTAAAATAAAATGCTTGTAGAAATTTCTGAAAAGTTCATTAAATTAACAATATAAATAATCCCATTATAATAATACATTTTCCTATTCATATAAGAACACAGTTTAAATTACCTCCCAAATTTCAAAGGCAAAAAGGCACTGCCTTGGCTCATTCTCTCGCTTATTCACCTGATGGGTGTATGCACTGGATCCACTGTGTCCAGTACCACTACTTTTCAATCTCTGCTCCAAACTGCAGCCAGAAAACATTTTTTTTTTTTTGAGTTGCAGTCTCACCCTGTCACCCAGGCTGGAGTGCAGTAGCATGCTGACAGCCACCACAGCCTCAACCTACTGGGCTCAGGCAATCCTTCTGCTTCAGCCTTCCAAGTAGCTGGAACTACAGTCATGTGCCACCGTGTGTGGTTAATTTTTTTGATTTTTATTGTAGAGATGAGGTCTCACTAAGTTGCTCAGGCTGGTCTTGAACCCGTGGGCTCAGGCGATCCTCTCATCTGGGCCTCCCAAAGTGCTGGGATTATAGGCGTGAACCACTGCGCCCGGCCAGAAAACATTTTGAAAATGAAAGCCTGCTTGATGTTTGAGTCATTTCTTTATCTAAGAAACATTTATTGGACTCCTTCTAAGAACCAGAAGTCATACTAGGTGCTGAGCATATAAAGTAAAATGAAACAATAGCAGCTGGTACTAAATGCTAATTATTTTTATTTTTTTACACCACATTAAAAATTTTTTTCTTTCTTCAAGAATAAATTAACTTTGATTTAATGTAGCTTTTTACTTTATAAACTTTTAATTTTTTGATTCTTTTGCAATAACACTTGGCTTAAAACACAAACGTATCATACGGTCATAGAAACTATTTTCTTTCTTTATATCCTACTTCTATAAAATTACTCCTATTTTGAAAATTTTAATCTTTTTATTTTATTTTTATTTTTTATTTTTTTGAGTTGGAGTCTCACTCAGTCGCCCAGACTAGAGTGTAGTGGTTGCGCCCAGCCACTGTAGCCTCAACCCGCTGGGCTCCAGTGATCCTTCTGCCTCAGCCTTCCAAGTAGCTGGAACTACAGGCGCGCGCTACCACACCCGGCTAAATTTTTTTGATTTATTGTAGAGACGAGGTCTCGCCAAGTTGCCCAGGCGGGTTTCAAACCCACGGGCTCAGGCAATTCACTTAACTTGGCCTCCCAAAGTGCGGGATTACAGGCTGAGCCACCGAGCCCAGCCGATCTTTTTCTACTTAAAACAATTTTCGTTGAAAATTAAGACACAAACATACACATTCTCCTAGGCCTACACAAGGTTAGGATCATCAATATCAATGTTTTCTACCTCCCTATCTTATCCCACTGGGAGGTCTTCACGATGACGACTTTCCTATCAAATCCTGAACTGTACTCATCTTTAAAATATCTTTTAAAAAATTAAGATAAAAATTAAAAAACACAAATGGCTTTTAAAGTCACATCTTAGCTAGAAGCTTTTCAGGATGAAGTTTCAGCTCCTTCACTAACCCTTGCAGCTGGACAGTGTCCTCACTGCTAGCTCCTCTCCGACTCACTTTTCCACACACAACAGCTCCTGACGGATTAAGCCCCCTCACCTTCCCTGCACTGGCCGGGACTTAAGTCTGGGCCCTTTTATTATTGATATTCCCACTGCCCAGAACCACCTACCCCTACATACACCGAAATGTTCAGAAACATGGGGAGAAGGGCTTGAAGACGGGCCTGAACACAGCGGGCAGGAGGGACTGCACTAGGAATGAGCTGGGGACAGGAGAGCGGGCAGCAGCCGCTTCCTCAGCGGAAGCAAGACACGAAGAAGTCTGCAAACGGGGAGTGAAACGGAAGCCGAAGACCAACGCAGACATCTGAGGCATTTTAAAAGAAGGAAGCAGTGGAACTGGGGAGACTATATGAAGAGAATGATAAAATGAAGAGTGTGGTAACCACAAGAGTGGACGCTCATTTCATGCCCATGACACAGAAATAAGGCAGCTGGGAGATGGAACTGTATTGTGAGACTGGATGATAAATTAATTTCGGGGACACCACTGAAGTAATGGTAAAATATCAACATGAAATTGTCCTGCAGGCATTTTCATAAGGAGGGTGGATATAATTTCCTCTTTTCATTATGGTATGAGCCTAGACATTTTCAAAAACAAAAACAAAAACAGATTGTTGTGCCATAAATTAGTTTTCCACAGAGCTCACTCATTACAAGTGGGAACCAAGTATCTAGCCAAGGACATGGCATCAAATGAGACAGAGTTTTAACCAATTAATATGCCTTAAGAATCAAAACACAACTTTACAGTCATACAGTTCTGCTGTATTGTAAGCCTGTTCTAACATCTAATATAGAAAAAAACTTATAATATTTTAAAAAGTTTAAAATGGCTTTTAAAATTTAATTTTGGCTTGGATGGGTTGGGTCACTATTAACATATACAAGACACAAGAGAAACTACTAAAAAAAAAAGAGATACTACTGATAATGTGTTTCTGCACTGGAAAGCATTTCAACAATCCTGAATATCCATTCTTCACCATCATCACTTCCTAGAATAATCTGCTAGTGCAATTACACAGAGCCAAGACAGGCAGAGGGTGCGTGGGTATATAATATATGGCTAAGTGATACTTATATTCTATTTGCAGAAGGAGCCTACTCACGATAAGTTATTTCCAAAAAGGTATGAGTATTTCACACTTCTTTAGGAAGCCATTAAAAAAAATCCCTGTATCAACTGTAAAGAAAGTTTCAAAAGCTGCCAAGTGCTCACGCAGCAGTGTGGAGCTTAGGGGGTTCCCAGTAAACGTCCACCAAATGGAATGGAATCTTGATTGAAATCATCTTTCCAAATGGTCTCACTATTGGAAGGCCTTGCTGGAAGACTGGGCATGATCAATGCCAAATGAGGAAGGAAAGCGCTTGAGCTGGCATCACACGTGGTGTGGGGAAGAGGGAGAAGGGCCTTCTGAGACCTGCACGCAGGGACGGCAGCCCACCAATGCCAAGCGATGTGTGCACGGATAGCCAAGAGCTCTCTTCGCAGAAGGGCCGTTAGCCCAAGCGGGGAGAGCAAGGAAAAGAACAAGAGGAGGAAACAGAAGCTCAGGGGCGACTGGTCATGTACTTTATGGCTCTTCTGCAACTTTTTACTCCAGAAAATTCTGAGTCTACGGAAGTTACAAGGATACAATGAACACTAATTAACTTTACCTAAGCTGACAATCTATCTATACACAGCACAGGCACACAAACACTTGTTGACCAAACCATTTGAGAGTAATTTGCAAATACTTCAACCCTAAATATTTCAGCTCATATCCTCTAAATATAAGGATAGTCTCCTATATAACTACATTAACAATTTCATTTTCAGAAACGTTAACATCAATTAAAATACTTTTTAATCTTACGTATATAGAGTATATACTTGAAATTTCCAAGTGTGTCTAATATTGCCTTATGCAACTATTTCCAATCCAAGATCCAGTCAAGAATTACATGCTGCGTCTAGTTACCATATCATGTTGTTTATTCTTGGGTCTAGTCTCCTTTAATATGATAGTCTCCTGTCTTTTCTTTCATGCAATTAGCACTCTGAAGAGTCCAGGCCAGTTAAACTGTAGCATGTTCTTTTATTTGGCTCTATATTACTGTTTTTCCATGACTGGATTCCGTTAAGTAGTTCTAACAAGACGCTGTATATTTTGTGCTGAGTCTTCAGTGTGTCACAGCCAGAGGCACACGATGTCAGCTTGTCCCATATCAACAACACGCTTGGCCTCTAGGTTATGGTGGTGTCTATCAGATCTCACTAACGTAAAGGCACCTCTTCTCCTTTCCAATAACAAATACTCTGTGGTACGGTATCCTGAAACTTTACGAATAGCATCCTGCTGCACAATAACCATCTACCCAAAGGCCACAGAGTATGCTGGTGATGGTGGCTTTCCTAGTTTCGATTCCTATATTTTCAATAGGATATTCTTTTTCTTCAGTCGAGGTCTCACTGTTACCCAGGCTGGAGGGTAGTGGCACAATCACAATAACCATGGCTGGCAGCAGCCTCAACCTCCTGGGATCAGGCAATCCTTCTACACTAGCATCCCAAGTAGTAGGAACTATAGGCATGTGCCATCATGGCTGGCTAATTTTTACTTTATATTTTGTAATGACGAAGTTTGGCTATACTGCCCAGGCTGGTCTCAAACTCCTGGGCAATCCTCTCTCTCATCTCGGCCTTCCAGAATGCTGGGATTATCAGCATGAGCCACTGTGCCCGGTCCATGATATTCTTCTATAAAGAGTTTTTCCTTCTCCACAAAAGAGCAGGGAGATTATAATAAACTAAGAAGAATTTTTAATACTACCATTTGTAGGTACACAAATTTTTTTTCTTAAACTCAGTGTAATCCATTATTATTGCCATTTATTTTGAGTCTCGTGCTATAATTTTATTTTATGAATATGTGAATTTTAACATTATTAAAAACTTAAAATAAAAAAAAGTAATCCAAAGGATACTCTCTGAAAAATCTTTTTTTTTGAGTTGGAGTCTTACTCTGTCGCCCATGCTGGAGTGTAGTGGCACGCTCCCGGCCACCGCAGCCTCGACCTGCTGGGGCTCCAGCGATCCTTCCGCCTCAGCCTTCCAAGTAGCTGGAACTACAGGTGTGCACTACCACACCCGGCTAATTTTTTGATTTATTGTAGAGATGAGGTCTCATCAAGTTGCCTAGGTGGGTCTCAAACCTGCGGGCTCAGGCAATCCACTCACCTCAGCCTCCCAAGGCGCAGGATTACACGCTGAGCCACCGAGCCCAGCTCTCTGAAAAATCTTATTCCCCTTTCTAAGCTTTCTATTTCTTTGTATCCACAGGCTACTAAGCAGCAAACATCATTTTCTCATTTAGTCTTCCTGCGTTTTTTATGCTTTGCAGAAGTAGATACACAAATATATGCAGATGTGTGTAAACATGCATATGCATGTATGCATACAAAAGGTGTGCTATCTATTCTTTTCACCTAGCTTGTTTTCACTTAACAACATATTCTTGAAAGCATCAAGTCACAGAAAAATTTGTCATTATGTTTTTAAAAAATTGCACACTACTCAAATGATAGTTTATCCAGTTTCCTAGGAATAAGCATTGTTTACTTTTCTTATATACTATTATAAATACAGCAGAAATAATGATCACATGCATATGTATCTCCATGATAAACTGCTGTGAGACTGTGGGATCAGGGATAGCTCCCGAGGTGTATCTTTGTGAAGTGTTACCGAAATCCCAGGATTCCAGGTGGGCTGACCATACTCTACCCCACCAGCAACGTAGTGGTGTGCCTGCTTCCCCAGGGCCTTGAGGATAAAATGGCTGTGAAGCTTCTGAATATTTATCAGTTCATTTTGGGGAAAGGGGCTCATGTCTTTTTGTAGTCTGAATTATTTAAGAGATTTACTGTTTAACTGAACTACCACAGATACTTAAAATATTCATACTCAAGCCTGACTATCTTGCCAATGGAACAAATAATATTATTTTCGGTCTTTTAGAAATTATGGCTTCTAAAAAATGTGACAGTACAATCAGAAATAGGTGTTTTAAAGTCCTGTGATTTCACCATAAAGTCATTCACCCCTGGATGAATGCACATTACTCAGAGGTGAAGTGAAGTGAATAGTGGAGAATCAGTCTACTTACTACGTAGACAATAATCATCTTGATAAAGCAATAATAATTTATTCACTATGAACAATTACTAATATGTTGTTTAAGGTAACAATAGAGCAAGTAGCTTGAGCAATTGTTATAACTTGATACTGTGGAATAAATTTCTATATTATTTCTTCAGTAGGAATTATAAGGACAATTATAACTATGGTAATTACAGCAATTACAAGGCCTTGTTCTAAGCACTCTACAGATATATTTAACTCTTATAACAATCTTATAATATATGTACATTGTACAGAACAGAAAACAGAGATAAAAGTAAGTCCATGTCCCATGCAGTCAGTAAACGGTAGCATTCTGATTTGAGCCTGTACTCAACTATTTTATGATAAAAAGCATTTCATTATAATATGCTAAAGAGAAAAGATAAGTGTGTAAAAGAATGCAATACTAAGAAAGAAAAATGTTTATACTGTTTTCTAAGCAATTTTTAGCTGAACAAATTTTGAGTATGAACAAGCATTCTGAAGTCTAATGATGGGAAATAATTAGCAACTAAAGTTAAGTTATTAATCCATTATTCACAGAAGTTTTGCTACTGGCCACATAAAAGTGGACTAAATTAATACTTCTTCACAGTTAATGAAACTGTCAGCGACTACCTCAATTTAACAGGGACTTTGATCATAGCTCCTTCTTCAAAAGAAAGCAGCAATTAAAAGGAAAAAAATAGACTTACAATTTTTAGTCCAATGACGGCTCATTTTATGGCTTAATATAGGAATAATTTTCATGATATATATATGTTTGCTTTTAAAAAATACAATATTTCAGAAAGTGTCATAAAATTATTGAAAATAAGTCTATGGTGTTTATTAAAAAAGGAAAGAAAGCATTTAATTAAAAATTTCGGAAGAGCATCATTATCAATGATCAGTACTTACCTCATCTGGAAAAAGATGCAACCTTTGCATCAGCGTTCTTCTGTGAAGGTTTTTGGGCAGCATACCATAAATAGCTAGTTTTACAATCTGAAAAACATCCACAGGACTCAATAAGAAAACTGTGACTTGGGATATAAAGAAAACAAACACAGCTGGAGATGGTGATGAAAACATGAATAAAGGAAAAACACTAAGTAGACACATAGAAGCAACAAAAGGAACTTTCATTACTGTGTACATTACTATTTCTTTGGGTCTCTGTTTAATGTATTGCTTATTTCGAAAAAGAACAAAAGGATGAGATTAAAAGTAACCTGTGTATGTGCTAATTGTAGACAGAATAATTCTTTTTTTTTTTGAGTTGGAGTCTCACTCTGTCACCAAGACTGGAGTGCTGTGGCACGCTCATGGCCACCCCAGCATCAACCTGCTGGGCTCCAGTGATCCTTCTGCCTCAGCCTTCCAAGTAGCCAGAATTACAGACGCGTGCTACCATGACCGGCTAATTTTTTTACTTATTGTAGAGAAGAGGTCTTGCCAAGTTGCCCAGGGTGGTCTTGAATCCGTGGGCTTAGGCGATCTGCTTGCCTTGGCCTCTCAAAGTGCTGGGATTACAGGCTGAGCCACTGAACCCGGCCTAGACAAAATACTTTATTTTTATCATCTCACTCATATTTCAAGAGTATAATTTGATGTGTATTAAAGCTAAACTCACTTAAACGATACATGTTAAAAACAGGGTTGCATTAAAGAGGATTTGCTATTACTTTTATTCTTTCATCAAATCAAACCACAAAGCCTTACTACATACAAAAGCCAAAGGAATATCATAAATATTTTCCATCTATTTTTTATGCTAGTGCTGTTAAGACTTTATGTTCTGGAGACTATCTAAAGATAGATATGGTTAGAATTAAAAGCAATTAAAAATTCAGTTCCTTAGTCACAAAAGCCACATTTCAAATGGCCACTTGCATGTGGCTACCATGTTTGGCAGTACAGGCACAGAACATTTCCATTATGGCAGATGGCAGATATTTCTATTGGACACCACTCACCTAGCTGTCAGTACTCAAAACTTTCAAGTTCTAAAAGTTGCAAGTAGAAATCGAACGTTAAGACTACTCAGCAACTTTTCTGGATAAGCAATCATCACCGTAATAGCAATTTTATTGTATTAGTAGGCTTACATGGCATTTGATTTTTATGTTCATATAAAATTTAGTCGCACTTATTTGAATTACCAAGTTAGTATTTAAAAATCTCCCCTGTTAAAAAAGGCTAACAGCACAATCAAATGAGGACAAGTTAGAAAATATAAAAAGGTTATAAGACAACAGGGAGAAAAAGACAGACATATAAATATACATAAACGCTCAGTGCAGTGGCTCATGCCTGTAATCCCAGCACTTTGGGAGGTGGAGGTGAGAGATTGCCTGAGCCTGCAGGTTCGAGACCAACCTGGGCAACATGGCGAGACCTCATCTCTACGATAATCAAAAAATTAGCTGGGTATGGTGGCGTGTACCTGTAATTCCAGCTACTTGGAAAGCTGCCTGAGCCTAGAAGGTTCGAGACTGTGGTGGCTGTGAACATGCCACTGCACTCCAGCCCGGGCGACAAAGTAAGACTCCAATTCAAAAATAAATGAATAAATGTACATAAACAAATAAATAAACGTGAAACAAAATGTACATGCAATATAGTGATTCTATCTGTACAGACGTAAATAAAGGCTTTAAAATATTCAAAAAGTAAAAAAGACAGACCAAAAAGTAAATATTAAAGACTTTCCTTGTATAATCTGTTACACAGGGCATGTACCATTTGTTTTACACAAAATAACCTTACTAGAGGAAAATGTACAGGCTTTACAGAAACTCTTAAGAGAAACCAAAATACAAGACACGAGAGATAAAGGAGATAAGGAAAGGGCTGAATCAACATATTTATTTGAACTCAGAATTAATCATCTTCTATGTAACTATGAAAAAAACTTTGACATGTTTAACAAATTATTACCTGCTTGACTATTAGATATTAATTCATGCATTTTTCAAATAATATTCCTAGACTGTACTAATGGTCAGAAGACTGTAGACTGAAGCAAATGATCTGACAAGTCATACACACCAAGTACAGATTAGCAAAGCACATCTGCTGGCAGAGGCCTGCCGTTCCAGATATACACACTGTGTCTGAATTAGAAAGAAAATAACTGACCAACTGACCTCTCCTTTAATATGCTACTATTTTTCAAAATACAAAGTCAAAATGAAGACTAAAAAAACAAAAATAAAAGTCTTTTCATGAGGTAGTGATCCAGAGGGATTTAACGCTGAAATACTTCCTAAGCCTTCATCAAACATTTTGCAATACGTTTCATTCTTTGTTTCATGAACAATTAATTTGAAACAGTTTCCTCAAATGTTGTCCAACAAATTCTCAACATTAAAAAGTTAGACTACACTGCCCCCTAGTGTACAGTTAACAGACCTGAATAAAAGAGAAATTTTAATTTTAAAAACATTAAAAATATTTATAAAGTATTAAAACCACCACTTGTTGTAACAGTTATGGTATACATTATCAGTAGCCCTCACAACTTTTAACACTATTATGTGTAAATTATATTAATAGTCAAAATAGAATACCTTGTAAAAGCTTAAAAACGAGTTGTGAAACAAAATATTAAATATTTCCTAAAAAGCTTCTCTGAGCATATTTCAAACAGATATGAATGATGTGAATTAAACAGTAAAGCATGGAACTTCTAAATGGTATGTCAGCTTTATGATATAGAATATCCCTCTCCTAAACTTTACCAAGAAAATTTTAGGCCGTGCTATGCCAAACAAATGGTTGCGTCCTGTTAACAGATGTTTGTTTACTACTTTAGAGAAATAAAAAAGGGTATCTTCAGAGTTTGACACTTTGCTAATTTATGAATGTATTTAAGTAAAAGTGCAAACAGTCTCTAATGGGGAAAATGCTATCTATCCCACTAGTATAATCCAAATGTCAGGTCTACCAACAAAGGAAAAATAAATTGAGGAGCAGCAACAGGAGACCTTGCTTTTAGCTATATCAAGGACTAACATATGAACGAGCACTTCGTCCAGTATTTAACTTACGTGATAAAGTATTAAACAAGCATTACTGACGTTAATAAGAATACTTTGGAAGCATGAAATCAAACTGACCTCACAAAGCTTTGAGGACCAAAATTCACCCTTCTTGTGGGATCAAAATCCTGTCTAAAGTCTAAAGTTTAGCTTAAAGAAATCTTATGTTGGTATAGCCTGATGTACTTTCCATAAGCTAAGTAAATGTTCATTGAGGAAAGTCATTTTTAACACAAGTCTCAAATAATTCTCAGAGATGAAGCTTCAATACCAACTGTACTGAGCGGAAATAATAAACTGCAGACTCACAAAAGTCACAAATATCAGAATCAGATATAAATGCTAAGAATTGTGTTTAATATCTGTAAAGAAATACAAAAGGGAACCAAAATATGACAAAGAAACAGGAGACTATCAAAGCTGTTCAGCATATTAGAAAAAGAGCCAAATAATAAAACTTAGAAAAGGAAAAGAAATAATTGAAATTAGGACTACAATAAAAAGATTAATCAGACATAGGTGAACAGGTAATCAGAGAACTGAAACACATATCTAAACAAATTAAAGAGAATGCAGCACAGAGACAGTGAGACAAAAAATATGAAAGAATGGTACTGGCAGGGCGTGATGGCTCATGCTTGTAATCCCAGCACTTTAGGAGGCGGGCTTCGAGACCAGCCTGGGCAACTTGGTGAGACTTTGTCTCTATAATAAGTCAAAAAATTAGCCGGGCATGGTGGCACACACCTGTGATTCCAGCTACATGGAAGGTTGAGGCAGAAGGATCACAAGGGTCCAGCAGGTTGAGGCTGTGATGGCCACAAGTGTGCTACTGCATTCCAGCCTGGGTGACAGAGTGCCAAAAAAAAAAAAAAGTACTGAATCACCCACAATAAAATGTGACCATATGCTTTAAATTTAATTCAATTCCCACAGGGAAAGACAGATGGAGAATAAAGAGACCCAATATTGGAAGATTTAAGAGCCAACACATTTTCAGAACTGAAGATATCAATCTTCAAACAAAAAAACAAGACTCCACAGAAACACATAAAAACCAAAGTCAAAGAAAAGATCTTATAAGTATCCAGAAAAAAAAAGACAGAGTACAAAGAAACAATTAAATGGATGTCCAACTTATCAAAGCTAAAAATCCATTTGAACAACAGTTTCAAAAGGCTGAGAGAAAAAAATAATGGTTATCTTAGACTTCCATACATAGCAAAACTATCTTTCAAGAAGAAAGCAACAATACAGACGAAGTTTCAGATAGAGGTGAGTTCAATATTATAAAAATGTGGCTATGAGAATACTAACAGGAGGTACTTCAAGGAAAAGGAAGCTGATCCCAGAAGGAAGATTAAGTTACAAGAAGAGATTGTAAGCAAAGACAATTTTAAAAAATCAATAACAGGATAAAACAATAAGAGTTTTGAACTGGATTTTAAAAATCTTGAACAGAGAAAGCATATAGATTACCAAGGAGGGTGGATGCTAAAAATCTTCTAAGAGTTTTCATTTGCTTTGAAGGAAGGTAAAGTTACTGATTAACTTTAGACTTAAATAAATTCAATCAATACAAAAGCAGTCAAGAAAGAAAAGAAAAAAACAAAACTAAACCCAGCTACATATGTTTACAATAAGCACATCTATAACAGAAGAACCCAGTAAAGTTTAAATGTTGAAAAATAATATGATACAAACACTAATCAAAAGGCAGCTGATGTAGCTATATTACTAAATAGGTCTTAAGGTAAAAAGCATTATTAGAGATAAAGGGGAATGGTATATGTTGACCCTAATCAATTATTTGAAAGATTACAATTCCAAGCTTAAATTCATCCAACACGAAACCTTTAAAACACACAAAGCAAAAATCGACAGGCCTAGAAGGAGAAATTAGCAAATGTAAAATTAAGATTTTAAAAATAATAAATAAAAATAAACTCAGATACACAAAAAATCAAGTTAACAAAAAAGGCAGTGACAGTATAAGAGCAACATGCTTAGCATGTTTGATAATATGCATATACAAGTAAGTACACATACATGTATAAACATCTTTCTTAAGGCATATTCATGTACTAGGCGATTCTGCAGGTGTCAAAAAATTAAAAAGAAAAGCATCAGAGTTCTTTGATTAAATGTAAAACATAATACATACTAACTAGAAAATGCACAGAGCTGAATGATAATCAACATAATGTTAATTGAAACTTGTGTGATACAGCTATTGTGAAGAACCATAGCTTTGAATGCTGGCTACATTTGAAGGGAGACCAGAAAGATATGTCTGAACTGGTCTTTGCACAGATGATAAGTGAAGCAAAACAGCCTTACCGCTATTGGGTCCTTCTGGTGAAGCTGAGCAGCTGTGACCTGTCTGAATCCACCTGGGTAGCTGTTAAAAGAAGCACAGATGTTAAACTGGGCATAGGCTACAGTGCTGAGTTCCTAGGCTGGTCATTCTTTTATAATAAGAAAACTATTTAATAAGTTCTTCCTGGAAACTATGCTATTCACTAGTCTTTTTTTTTTTTTTTTTTTTT